TCCACCCCCCCCCCCCCCGATGTTGTTCTATGTCACTTGAACAGTTTGTCTCTTCAATTTTGTTGCACTTTTGATACAATGACAATAAAGCTATTCTGATTCAGGTTCTGGTTGGCAATGCATCACACCGCGCCCCCCAAAAAAATCTATGGAGTTTTTTTTTGCAGTTTTAGACCTAAAAATGGACAAAACTGAAACGGGTTACTTTCGGTGTCACGTCCTTGTTCATGTGCGTTCCAATACAGGATGCAGTGGAAACCGTGAGGCAACAATTTCTGCTTGATCACGCCCACCAAGACAGACCCGCGCTTAACCCCAAATAAATATGTCAGTTGTTGGAACCGAGCCTCAATACCACATATTTTCAGTTCATGAGAACATCTTCCAGACAGACATAGTTGTGCTCTGGGCTCTATCGTAGCAACCCTGTACAAAACAAGGGGCTCTGAGCGCTTTTAAATGCAAACCTGGATGTCGAAGACAATAAGTTGGCTTTTTTTTTTTTTTGTAGAAATGTCTTCTGCGATAACCAGAATCTTCCCATTGTGATCGATTCAGTGTCCCCGAGAAAGACAGTTTCACTGTGGTAAAATGAAAATCAAAAGGTGTCCAGCTGTTATTTATACGCCCCAATCAAGTGACATACAGGACAGTACTGGAGGCGTCATTGAGTGTCTGCACTCGGTAGTCACGTGTGCTTAAAGGGGAATTTATATATATATATATATATATATATATATGGCCACCTCTGTTAAAAAAGGGGAGTGGCTGAAATGAAATGAGTAAATAGAATATAATCAGAATGTGGTTCCGTTTTTCGTGTTTTCTGGAGAAAAAAAAGTGGAAAAAAATGACTCTGGCTATTATTTGATGATGTGTAAAACTAATGCATGTTAATGCAAATGAGCAATGAAGTTTCTCATTGCAAGACATTTAAATTGAAAAATATTGACCTTTTTTTTTCGGTGTGGGGGGGGGGGGTAGCTGTGTGCAACCTTCCAAATCAAAAGGAGGAGGTTATTTTCTAATACCACTTTGTGGTACTGTAGTTTACATTCCATACAAATGTGCACACGCCCCCTACTGGCAATATTTGAGATCTAGGCAAATGTGTGCATTCCAAATGTTGTTGTTCTTCTTGTCATTATTATTTTCATGCAAAATACTAAGATGGCATATGGTCTTGCCAAAAAATTGGAAAATAATACAGCAGTGATTGACAGACGTCTGTGCTGGGAAATTATTCAATGTCATTTAATTAGAAAGTTACCATTTATTCACTGCAAAAAATGGTGTATAGCTTTGTTTATCAATCTATGCCAGTGACCTAGAGTGAGACGCTCAAGTATTAAGTGCTCTTCTTTCAGATGGCAGAGGTTACAATTAGCCTGTGTGTCGACCTGTTGCCATTAATGCAACATGATACCAGCTACAGTATGTGTTCAAATAAATAAATAAATTTTCAACCCAAGGGAGTAAATTTGTGTAAACATTAAAATTGAGCCCAGTGTGTAAACTCTTGTGACACTTTCGATTGTTAGCTGTTTGTGAGTTTTTTTTTTCTTTTTAATGTCATGTGAAATATGGATCTCAATAAAAGTTGGGACACACAACAAAAAAAACCCACTTCAGATTTGGCTATTTTCACTGATACAATAATTTCCAAAACATGCCTACTTTTTTTTGTCGCGCATCAGGTTTGAGAGATTTTCACTTTGAAGTTTGACATATAAATGCTTGCGCAATACAAATTTTACCATGTGGTGTAATTTATAGCGATGGCGTTTCAGAAAAAAAATCCACCAGTTGCTGAAAGTACTGCTAACCCTTAATTAATAAATATATTCCAATATTATTTGATGGGAATGATGATGAAACTTGATGTGCGAGCAAAAAAAAAAAAAACATTTCGAAAAATTGACTTGCATCTCTGATTTAAAAGAAAATTGTTGACCAATGTCATTTAAGCACTAGTTGAAAGAAAAGCAGAGAAGACAAACTTCGATTTGCCGGATTCTTTAATATGTGTGTATTTAAAATGTGATCTTTGTGGCTGTAAAGTAGGCAAGCCTTTTGTGCTCTATTTGATGTTAATGCAGTTGTTGTGGATGGTAGTGTGCATGCCTGGCTCTGTGTGTGTGCACCGATGGTAAAGCCGTAGCATTTTTGTTGTCTTCCTCAGGTAAACTATCGGGGTGGGGGTGGTGGGGGGGTCGGTGGTGGTGGTGGTGATGATGGAGGTTGTTGTTGGAAGGGGTGCGGGGTGTAAGCAGGAAGGCTGAAATCAGTGTTGCCATGGAAACCATTGTATTTCCCTCCCCCTGTGATTGGCGCTGCCGTCTTGTGCAAGTATCTGCTATTTCTGTAATGCAACAAGGCCCCGGACACGAGTGCAGTCACAGGACACACACACACACACACACACACACACACACACACACAAAATCAGTTGAAACTCGCTTTCGGATGTCATTTCCTATTTGTGCCCTAACCCTATTAGGGCACATATATTAGCATGTTATCATTTTGTCAGATTATTTACCGTGACAGCACGCACCCCTGGATATGGCTGCGGCTGCTGCCATGTTGGAGATCCATGCGTGATGTTCCGATCCTCCGTGAGAGTCTGAATAGACAAATTAGATTGACAGCCAACGTTAAAAAAAAAAAAGATCTTTTTACCAACTGTGCAGTTTAGGGTTATAAAGTTTCTTTTTACAGTTAACCAGCACCGACCTTGAATCAGGGCGAGCAAACGGAATATTTGTAGCTTTTTCGCCAATCAGCAAAGCTGATCTCACTCTGGCTATCTGTGTTTGTTATGAACACTTTGTTGAAGGCAATCTTTCAGGTGGTATCTCACTGAGTGAGGGTGTTCGATTTGTCAACTTTTCTGATGAATGTTCAGGTGGTATCTCACTGAGTGAGGGTGTTCGATTTGTCAACTTTTCTGATGAATGTTGGCAAAAGTCATGGGGTCACCTCTGTCATGAGCTATGTTTCGTGACTTTCACCGTCAATGAGTGATTTTGATCATATGGAAATGAGTAAGGTGTAAATCATAAAATGTAACACAAAAAAAAAATAATCTTTATGACTTACAGGGCGGTGCATGCCAGCACTTTTCTCTCCAAATTTGTCTTTCACGAACTGCTTCACTGCTCTCTTCTATTATTTGTGTCTTAAAACTTATCCAAACGGGTGTTGTAAAACATAAGATCCTCCTCATTGCCTTCCTCTTTGTGCATTATTTTTCTTCCTGGCATGATGATCCACGTGGAGAATGGCTGCTTCTATCTCACAAGTGGCGACTGCTACGCACGAATGTGTGGACATATTGGAACCATGATCACATGGTCTCTAGCAGTGGCGAAAAAAAATAAAATCCTACTACCGTTTACAAACGCATACAGTCGTTTTGCAAATACGTTGCATACAATGGATTTCTCCGACAAGCGTAAAACTGTTTGCGAACATGTTTCCAACCTGTTATGAGCCTTGTCGAAACCCAAAATTCAATTCAATGTTCGCAAGCCTTCACCGCTCAGAGAGATACAAGCTTTTAGCACTTAGCATTGTTGGGAAACGCATGTTCCACATTGTACCTGTCTCCAATTTCAGTATGTTCACATTTTATATAAGTACTCTTAGGTAACAGATTTATACGTTGGATATTAGCCAATTGTTACCTTGGTATTATATTAAACGCACAGACACATGACAAATATGGGATTCTTATCATGCTAACCACCACCTAGACTTGAGTCTTATATTTGTCCAACTCAATTCTGTTTTAGGCAGTGAGAGACATTTACATTCTGCCGGCATAGGGATCATCGTTTATGATGGCTACTATGTCATTGTGGCATGTCATTATCTCAGTACATTCTGTTCGCTTTTTTAAGCTTTCATCTTAGCACATGTAAGGAGATTTGAAAATTATTGAATTGCTAATATGAACTCATTGAGCCAATACAGAGAAAAAAAACAAACACGAGTTTGTCCAGTTTCTCAGTTTCAAACCGAGCTTAGTTTTCTGATCTGGACCTCGAACATGGCAGCTATACTGATGATGTCATGCACAGTTATACAGTGCATTACTACAGGCCAAAATATGATGCCCTTACCAATCTATCATGATGTTCGAAGTACTTGGGTTGCTTTTTTTTCTATATTTTAGCATACTATCTGTTAGCGTTGTAGCTTTTAGAAATTCTCATTTGTAATTGTGTGGGACTACAGGACAGGATATGAAATTCTTATTGACTGACTCGGCGCTTTGTTTTTTTTTTTTTTTTTTTGCTGTATGTTAACATACTAAGTGTGAACATTCTACCTATAAGCAAACTTCCACTGAGGCCCATGTCGTTTGAGAGTTAACGTTACAAATCAACACAGGTTGTTAGAATGATATATGATAGCATTTTGGGGTGTCCAAGGGTCAAATAGACTGCCATGGCCGGCTCAACTTTTAGTAGATTTTTCAGAAATACCAGGTAATAGATTTGGCCGCCCTTCTCCAAACAATACATAATTGTGCGTAAATATTAAGGCTGATAGATTATGGCCGTGGTCCAGACAGCTCACAAGCTAATGCTTTGCTAATGTTTTTTTTTTTTTTTAACCAAACGTACGTATCACGTAAACCTGACCCATAAAATATTTGATATTTTGGTATCTGAGAAATTTAAATGTGAAAATCTGTTCTTTTTTTGTGTTATATTGTGTCTTTTTTTTTAAACTTTCAAATGAAAATGAATAAAACCCGGTTGATCAAGCACTAGGACCCAGCGGAGAGCTGTGAGGCTTGGTGCTGCCTGCCCACCCACCCCGCTTCTCAGCCCTGCATGCTGCTGCAGTTGCCCTGGGCGCCTACTGAAGCCACTGGGTGTGCGTGTCTGCGCGTGCTTGTGCGCGCGCGCGTGTGCGTGCGTGTGTGTGTGTGTGTGTGTGTGTGTGTGTGTGTGTGTGTGTGTGTGCGCGCGCGCGCGCGCGCATGCGGAGAGATCGGGCGGGTGGTCAGTCTGTGAGAGGGGGAGGGTTCGAGTAGGAGGGGATGAAAGGGGCCAGGTGAGGAGGAGACACAGCAGTATCACCCTTCTCTTCGACCCCTCCATCCCTCCTTCAGCACACATCCATCCACCATCCACATCGCCTGAATGTCTCGCGTGTGTATGGATGTGTATGTATGACTATGTTGGCTTTGCGCGCGTGTGTGTGTGTGTGTGTGTGTGTGCGTGCGTGCGTGCGTGTGTTTGAGAGAGTCACCGAAACAGGTCAGCGTTCTTCCAACAGACTGTGAACCTGCACAGGAGTGAGCAGCGCTTTCCCGACGGAGGTATGTTGATGAAGCATGATACTGTATTATCACACGCACGTGTACTTTCTCTGTAAATGGATCGGGCGCGCCCATGGGAGTGTGTGCGTGCGTCTACGTGTGTGTGTGTGTGTGTGTGTGTGTGTGTGTGTGTGTGTGTGTGTGTGTGTGTGTGTGTGTGTGTTTTGGGGGTGCAGGAAAGATTTGGGTCAATGATAAAATGTGACACAAGAGAATCATATGAAGGCTTCTTATGTCATATTGTGTACAATCTAATTTTTTGTGTCGGTTCTCCGAACTGAGTCAAAGTGGAAGAGAACAACAGGCTCGTTTTCACCTCATCGTGTCATGTGCATGATCGGGTCATATGGTTTCCCGTTTGCAGCCATGCAGACTCTGTTGAAGTTGGGAGAGAATATTTGGATTACTTTGGAAGTTTCGGAGTTTCATTGCTGTCCACAGATGGGCGATGTGTTTAATTTAAGGGAAGCGTGATATCAGGTGTTGCGCCACCAAAATGTATTCAATCAATTGGACATTTAGTGAAACCCGCTCCTTTGTTAATTCGTAATAGTGTCCCTCCATGTTTGTCAGCTGACAAAGAATGGCAATAATAATAATAATAATTAGTTTGGAAAGTTTTTTTTAATGAATCAGTCATTGATAATGTATGGGAAGTGAAAGTCTTACATTAGACCATCATTGAAGTACATTCCATGAACATTTTAATTCTGTCACACCAGAGAAATATTCCCTTCTAGTATAATCCACTGCTTCTTAGTGACACAAAACCAAATATAATTCCTTGCCCGAAAAAGCGCAACGATTTTGTATTGATTGATGCCTGCTGTGATGGAGTTAACACCTCGAGCAAGTTGTCAGTGTGTATTTTGCCAACACGATGTGGGAAAAAAAAGTAGCGAAAAACAATCAATACTGATGCAAACGACTAAAGCTGTCGAGAGAGTTTGTCTACTTTATCTGCGGCACGGTGAGACGTTTGTGCTTCGCCTAATTAACTGAAGGTGACTGTCACCCTTTGACCTATTATTATTGTGACGCTAGCTCTGTACATGTGGGCAGGAAAAGAGCAGGCGCCTCGCTAGCATGCCGGATGGAAAAAAAAAAAAAAAAAAAAAAGAAGCGCCCATGCAGGTGTACGGCATATGGAAATGTACCAGAGTCTCGGTGCTCGTTCCACGACTTTTACGGCGCGTGTGAGTTTGTGACAGTAAACACGCCTCACTGGACAAGTGATCATCCAGCGATGTTTCTTTGCACGCTTTTTGCAGCACTTCTTAAATGAGCAGCAAATGACTGTCTGCGGATTACTACCACGAGATCTGGAAACTCAATCAGCTTCTCAATTGCTGTGGACAACCCAGAGACAAAAACTTCTATCTTCGAGTTTGTTTTTGACTCTTGAAGGGGAACATAAGGTCCTCGCTGGCTTTGAGCATTTCCCTGCGGCTCTGATTGCCTTGAGAGGCGCACCATCTGAAGATGCAGATGCCAAACTCGATACCACGTGAAGGTCCACACAGGCAGGAGCGCAAAAAGTCAGGATGACTCGAAGCGTCAGTGACTAACTGCATGGATGTTTCGGAATGAAAAGAATATTCACTGTGAGGCCTTGAAGTGGTGAAGCCCAAAATCATTGGCAGTTCAACAATTGATGTGACTTCTGAGGGTGCCGTGGTTTACACAATGCAAGAGCAGTTAAATGTTATAATTGTGGAGTCGTCTTGAATTAGCACTGTTTTGGGTTTAATTCGAATCATTTTATTTGTTTTTCCAGTAATGTAGAGTCGATAATGGATAATTACCTTTTCCATTTATTTATTTCTTTACTGTACTTGACATTAACCTGTTCATGCACCTTGTAACCTGATAACATGATAAGCTGTAGTAACCACTATAGTAACCGCCGTCCCTGAAAGGGTTAACTTGGTAATTGTTTTCTGTTATTTTCCATCCATCCATTTTCGAGACCGCTTATCCTCATGACCGTGGGGTTGCCGTTGCCTCGGCCAGATAACGTTGGGCAAGAGCCGGCGTACACCCTGGCCTGGTCATCTTATAGACCACAGTGTCAAACTCGAGGCCCGGGGGCCAGATGTGGGCTGCCACATCATTTTAACTGGCCCACAACTGCAAGTCAAACATGTCAACTTCCATGATGCTTGCTAAAATCTGGACCAAAAATTCAAATCGTCATATGCAATAAATAATAGCGCTATTATAAGCATTTTCTCGTGAGCAAACCTCTCATAACAGTTACTTGAACAATTGTTGAGTAAACCATTCTTGACTTCTTGATGTGGTTTCACAGTCACAACGGCCCTCCAAGGGAAACTGACAACTACTGGCATACACATTCACGCCCATGGACAATGCAAACATGTTTTTGTCAAAACCTATGGATGGGACACACACGATTTGCTTTATTTATACATGTATATTTGAGAGAGATCCTGAGGTATTTCGTTGGACAGCCGAAAGTGTCCTGGGTTTTCTGTGGGGCCTCCTCCTGGTGGGACATGCCCGAACCACCTCACAAGGGACGCATCCAGGTGGAATCCTGATCAGTTGACCATGCCACTTCATCTGGCTCCTCACAATATGGAGGGGCAGCAGTTCTACAGCCCCTCCTGAATGACTGAGCTTCTGCAGAGGAAACTCGTTCCGGCTGCTTGTATTATTATTATTATCCATCCATCCATCCACTTTCCGATCCGCTTTAACCTCACAAGGGTCGCGGGGGTTGCTGGAGCCTATCCCAGCTGTCTTCGGGCAGTAGGCGGGGGACACCCTGAACGGGTTGCCAGCCAATCACAGGGCACACAGAAACGAACAACCACCCGTGCTCACACTCACACCTTGGGAGTGTTCAATCAGTCTGCCATGCATGTTTTTGGAATGTGGGAGGAAACCGAAGTACCCGGAGAAAACCCACGCAGGCACGGGGAGAACATGCAAACTCCACACAGGAAGGCCACGACCTCTGCACTGTGAGGTGGATGACCACTGGACCATCAAGCCGCCTATTAATTATTATTATTATTATTATTATTATTATTATTATTATTATTATTATTGCTATTGTTAATGTGAGTTATTGAATGTTTTGGAAACAAATATCAATGCTTGCACAAATACTACACTTCTTCTTGTAATTGAGAATGTGTATTTTCTTTCAGATTTTCCCAGCTACAGTACAGTGGAGGGTCTCAGCGGCTCCATCTTCAAGGGTGTGGGGGCTCCTGTGACCCTCTTGAGCTCTAGACTCAATCGAGGATCAACCTCCTGAGCTTCTCTGTGGCACGCTCCGGCGGTGGAGGATGGGTGATGGGCCCGTGATACTCAGCGGATTCTCTCCTCCTCAATCTACCCTCTCATGGAGCACCTTGTCACACCGAGTCCCTCACGGAATGCTTCTCTCCTGCGACTCCCCCCGTTTCACCTCTCGCGGCAAGCAAACGCTTCCAACGTGAGCCAGGACGGAATAGACGTGAATCAGTCTGTGGCTTTGTTTGCCATGCTCATCATGGACGTCCTGGCTGTGGTGGGGAACCTTGCCGTGATGATCGTCATCAGCAAAACGGCGCATCTGCGCAAGTTTGCCTTTGTGTTCCACCTGTGCTTGGTGGACCTGCTGGCGGCGCTGGTGTTGATGCCTCTCGGGATGGTGCCCGATCGGATGTTGGCCGACGAAGCCCTGTGCCGAAGTTACCTCTGTTTGAGCGTTTGCCTGGTGAGCGCGGCCATCCTCACCATCTGCGCCATCAACGTGGAGCGCTACTATTACATTGTGCATCCCATGCGCCACGAGGTGAAGATGACGGTCGGGGTGGTGGTGACGGTGCTGGTGGGGGTCTGGATTAAAGCCGTGGTCATGTCATCGTTGCCTTTCCTGGGGTGGCTGCTCCAAGGTAACCAGGCTGCGGCATCGAGTCCGCCGCTCATCCCCGCTCAGACGCACTGCTCCCTCCACTGGGCAGGTGGCAGGACCACACGTCTGATCTTCATGGTCTTCTTCACGTTCATCTATTTCCTGTGTCCCATGTTGATTATTCTGGTGGTCTACTGCAACATGTTCAAGGTGGCCCGAGTGGCGGCCATGCATCACGGCCCGCTGCCTACTTGGATGGACACGCCACGGCATCGCTCGGAATCTACCAGCAGTCGCTCCACCATGGCCGCCAGCCTTGGTGGGACTGATTCCCGCAACACTCCCCAAAGGACCTTTGGAGGTGGGAAGGCTGCGGCGGTTCTGGTAGCGGTGGGAGGCCAGTTCCTCTGCTGCTGGCTGCCATACTTCTCTTTCCATCTCTATTCGGCCGCGGTGTCTTCCTCGCCTACCTCCCTTGCCCAGCTGGAGGACGTGGTCACGTGGATAGGCTATTTCTGCTTCACCTCTAACCCCTTCTTCTACGGCTGCCTCAATCGTCAGATTCGGGAGGAGCTCGGCCGCCACCTGGCCTGCCTTTTCAAGTGGGCCGGATCCGGTCAGGGGGAACAGCTGCCCAGCCGTGAGGCCTCCATCGAGGAGAACTTCATGCAGTTCCTTCAGGGCACGGCGGGCAATTTGGAGCCGTGTAACTCTCACAGCCGAGTGAGTCAAGAGGAGACGGAACACGAAGGCCTTCGGGAATCATCTGCTCCGCACAACATGCCAGCTGACTTCCACATCCCAGGGCAGATTCTTGAAGAAACCTCAGAGTTCATACAACGTCAAAAACTCAACAATCAACTCCATGCGCTGGGAAATGCCAAAAACAGTACCGGCGATGTAGCCCCCTCGCCCATCGTATATAATAATCGAGTTCAGGACTTCATTTCATTAAAAACTCATTTAAACGAGACGCCGAATGTTTTATGCTCTCAAACAGAAACCCAGTGAGCGCACTCTATAGATCGTCGATTAGACGTCTAGTTGTGCAACGTCTTTCTGAGAAAAAGGAGAGAGGTTCCGTGAAAAGTCATTGATAAATGCAGTACATCATGTGCATCTTCTTTTCATCCCCGACGCCCGCGATTCGGCGGCGCTACATGTCAAAGAGACACTCTGCGGTTTGCTGTTTCATAAGTGATGTCCGTGTGTATTTTTAATCGCCTCTCTTGAGTTGTTGTTACCATGTTTATCTTTTTTTTTTTTTTTTTTTTTTTC